TTATTTGCACGAAACAGTATGTCGGATTCGAAACGAGGAAAATCAAATCTGTGGTCAAATGGTTTTTAAATCCAGATGACGTTTAGAAAAATATGATATTATTCAGTAATAAAATTAAGAGGCAGGTCTTACCATTTGACCACAGATCGAGTACGGAAAAAAGAGAGAACTCGATTTCACCTTAATAATATCGTCCTGCAGATCGATTTACATGACTCGTCTAACTCCAAGCTCCGGTTGATTCTTCACGCGGACGATTTTCCGAACGACGCCTGATTCGTCGCGAAGTGTAGATTCTTATTTGGCACGGCGCCCACGTTCAAAGCCAAAACTTTGGAGACGATGTTCAAATCCTCCTGGTTGCCGATCCCTGGCACGTTATTCAGCTCGCCCGCGATTCCGGATTGATATAAAAGGTGTTGTATCTGCCTCGCGGGCGTGGGAGGCTTCGCTTGCCTATATTGCGTAAAAGGGTTGTAGAAATTGGCTGGAGTCCTTTGTGGCGCGTTAAAATCGAAGTTGTTCCTGATTCTGTTGTCCGCGTTGAATCCGAAGTTCCCAACCGCGTTGAAAGCCTCCTGTCGATTGAATCGTGACGAACCCAAGGGAGGCTGGAATTCGGTTGAAAAAGAGCCAAAACTTTGCTGGAGTCTCTGTTGCTGCGGTTGTAGCGATTGCAAATGTTGTAACTGCTGTGGCTGTTGTAAATGTTGCAGTTGTTGGAACGGTTGCAATCGTTGTTGTGACTGCTGCAAATGTGACAAGGATTGAACTTGTTGCTGAGGATGTTGCTGAGGATGTTGCGATTGCGGACGGAATGATTGCAACCGTGCTGATTCCTGTTGGAAACCTTGCTGGAACGCTTGAGGCGCGGCAACGTTCGGCACTTCTAGAGATACACTAGGCTGAAGATGAACGTTCGATTCGGAAGGTGGTTGTAACGTCAAAAAATTATTGTTCTGATCGAAGAAAAATTGTTTTTGCGGTACAACACGTTGCGACTGGAAGTGATTCTGTTTCTGTTCTTCAAATTTCAATCGCTGTTCCTCTAATTGTTTAATTCTTTGTTCTTCCAGTCGCTTGAGCCTAGTTTGTTCCTCTAGCTGTTTTATTCTAGCTTGCTCCTGAAAATAGTATTGCTGTTGTTGCTTCTGTCTCAGTTGTTGTTCGTACAGTTGCTGCTGTCTAACCAAAAACTGCGTTTGCTGGATCTGCTGTTGTTGAAGATCTGCTAATTGTTTCTCCAGAAGTTTTTGTTTAAAATCCAACTGTTCCTGGAGAGTCAAGGCCTGTTCATCGTTCGGAGATTTGAAGATCGGCACCACGCTTTTAGGCACGCCTTGCTCGTCCTGTTGAACCGTGAACGCTGCTACCAGGGGAGCTTGGAAGATCTTGACTTCCTCAGTTTTATCTCTGGCGTCGCTTGAACTGGATATCGTCGCGTTGATTCTTGCCGAAGCAGTGACAGTGCTTGCGGTCGGCTTTGGAGAAACGAGCGCATTTGCAGTGGCGATCTTCGTTCGATTTTGCATAATTAAGACGTTCGCAGTCGCGAAACCATTGGTCGCACTTCCGGTTAGGCTCTCAGAAATCTCCGTCATTGGTCTCAATGTTACACTCTCCACTTTACTCACTGAAAACGTCTTCAAAGTAGCCGACGATGTTTTCTCTTTCTGCTCCGACTTCGATTCAGTTTTGTCACCGAAGGACGCGGTATTCTTCACCGGCTGTATAACGTTATGAACGTGAAAGCTCCTGGCGTCTTCCTGCGTTGCTTTCTCGATGTTCATCGCAGGCGTCTTCAGCGTTACGTAATGAACGGCCTGGTCGAAACTGGAATTCTGTAATTTGTCTTCGCTGGGCACGTCGTCCTCGCTTGGAAAACTCTTGAACGAGAACGTGGTCTTCTGCACGCCGAGATCATCGTTCAGGTTCTTTTTCGCGACACCCTCGAAGGCACTAGTGTCCCTCTGAACGATCGTGTCTGACTCGTCCCTGTGCTGCTCCGCGGATTCGGTTTCTAAGTCGGTCAGAGCTTTTAGAAGCGCCCGGCGAAGGTTTTTATCTAATTTTATGGGTGGTGGGCTCACATCTAAACCCTTGTCGGAGATCTCTGGCTCCTGACACCTCGTCAGGGTGATCGAGGCCGTTGCTAATAGGAATACTAGCGTTGCCTGCAAGATCAATAAATTTTTCATTATTAATTAACTATTTATAATGCTGGTTCGAAAATGATTCGACCAGGCTTGATTGATAAATGTATGTACATCGATTGATTTGCATTTCCACGTAGAATGAATCCAAGAAAGTTACTATGCATACGTGTGTATGTATGTGTATGTACGTAAATGCGTTCGAAGGCGCGTAAATTTATTACGTTCGTTTCCTGCTACCAACTAACTGATTGAAGAGCAGATCATAAATTTATATAAACACACCTGCATAAATTCTGTTAGACCGTCTGAACATTTCACAATGATTTTCTCTTTTTAGAAATGTCGAACTTCGACGAAACTTTCATCTTATAAACGAAGATGTATCCCTTGCTCGTTTTACATAATTATGAAAGAATTTCCCTGAGATCTCGTGAGAAATTGTCGTAGGTATTACAGCTATCCGCGTCGGACGTAAAACAATGAGACATTAACAAATTCTGACTGTCAATTTGTTAAGCTTACAATTAATAGGCGAAACGTTTTCACTTATTTCAAATGCCAACATTTCTGTGTGAAATGACAGTACGAATTTTTCTCAGCAATTTTCTACTTTTTATATATTCAGAAATTTTATTAAGCACACGAAAAACGAATTAGAATTAAAGTAAAAGTAGAAAGAGATGCTAATAAGATCGTACGCTATAATCGTGTTGTATAATAGAACGAAAATTGCATAAGTAGATAAGATGAAGACAATTGGTACATAATACATTATATTTGTACTGATTGTAGGTTCGTCCGATATCTCTTTTCCTTTTATTTTACGAATAGGTATGTTATTATGTGAAACTGTCAGATGTTGCATGTACAAAACTGGAGTAGAATAATTGAAACCTGTCTCTCAGCCTCCTATTATGAAAGCATGCCATTTCGTATGTCTAAAAATTGTTCCTCCCAAAAACAAGACGATGTTCGAATCGCTGTTTGACGAAATAAATATTCACACAGTGAAAGTCGTCATATTATGAATCATTCATTTATGATATTTATGAATTGTTTAAATCGTCTTTATGATACGATTCTGTATGAGTCGTTTCTTTAATTAATATTATCAGTGTTATTACGAATCTGGATTTGAGAAATATTCCAACACAAGACATGAGATACTACTTCGTAAGTAATTTAAACTCGTGGGAAATAAATGGTTACGGCATGTGTTGCTAAAGAGTTTTCGAGCATTTTCCAATTGTTCGTACACTGCGAGAATGTTCAGAAACATTACATTTAAAAAAAAGAAACAACAGTATAAAAGATAATTTTATTTTAAGGTGTGTCTCATACTTCGAGGAGAAGCTCACACGTTTCTATAAACTCGCCTCGGGTCATGAACTTTCATCCCGCGCGGTGAAATTAAACATACAATCTACTGTGGCGTTGTCATCTAATGATGATTCACTGCCGCATCATCAACGGTTTTTAATATAGAAAATAGGTTAAAAAATGTGAAATTTTTATTATAAAAAGAAATTAAATGATCATCTTCACTCCCGCTATAATGCTCCCTGTTATGAAATTATCTCATGAATAATCGGGAACAGCACTGTACATAAACTGGTCGCCGCTGGTTTGTAAAATAAGACCAGGAGCGCTTCCCCCTTGAACAAGTTACACGACATCCTTGTAAGCGGTAATTACTATCGCTTTACAATCTGTGACCGTTGTCAAGGCTTGTGAGAACAAACACTCGAACCCGTCGTCGAGACCATACAAACCAGTAGATCTTCTCGCGAAACAAAAACATCTTGATAAAATACAATATTGAAAGGCACGAGAATATTTTAACAAAATGATAGAAAAGCTGGCCTAATCGAATGGATTATGCGCAAACTTACAGCTCGAGTATAATTACGTGCATATCGATGGAAAAAATGTATGTGCGCTTTCTCATGGATTAAAATCAGCTTGCGGTTATTGTCTACATACAAGGTGATCCTTCAGGAGAAACTATTCTACGGTTGTGAAACAGATCAGTCGCGGTCGAGACCGCACCTCCGCATCAGGTCGCAAGTTCCCCTCGGTCGTTACCTCAGTGGCGAACTTTCACACCGCGGCTGCTAAAGGCGTGTACAGCCGAAAAGGAAAAGCGATTTTCATTTCTACTTGACGGTGAAGCGATGACGAGAGCCCGGGAAAAAAACGAGTGACAAGAGAAAATAACTACTCGTCGTTACATTCGGTATTACTGTGGCATTTGATCAGCTAAGGATGTATTAGCTATACAGTCAATCCTAAAAGTTTATGTATTTTAGAAAAACGCATTTCTTGTAATTAAAAAGAAATCAGACGTCGGAAGAACAATGCTAATAATAAATAGCTACATGCTAAAAAGTATAGAAGGAAATATCTAATTAAGTATTGACGCTGACGAAAAATTTTTTTCTTCAAAATNCCCCTTGGAAAAATCTCGGAAAAATCGAAAATTTTTTTTTTCTCAGAATATCGAAATATATTCTAAAGGGCGTCAAAAATATCAGACTTAGTGATTAATTTACAGTCTTCCTTAAGTACACCAGCCCTAAGTCTATTGAAAAATTCAACTAGGCCTGGCGCAGGTAAGAACATGCCATACCTCTTGACATTTGTGAAGAAAGTTTCGTTTGAAAAGAGTCTGCGCAGATACGTAATAAGCGTGTAACAAAGCGACGTTCATAAATGTCTTCTGTAATGGCATAGTTGTTCATAGGAGATAGAAAGTATTTCTGATAGTAAGGATAAAATAAAATAATCTCGAATCTGGAATACGTCGATATGATTAAATCGTACTGTAGAAGGTGTAGAAGTGTAATCTCCAAATGAGGGTATCATTTGCTTACAATGTTCCCGACTATCTAATCGTGTGAATGACTATGCCACACGTTCACAGTATTCTTTACTGCATTCCACTAAAAGTATCATTAAATTAAGGAGCAGTGTGCATCTGTTAAAAAAACCTGATGTTGAAACACAACCCGCGTACGTAAAACTGTGTTTTATTATTTTCCGTGGCTGCGTGTTCGTATAGTCCAGTCATAAAAAAATGAAGAACAGGGAAAGTATGCAAAGAAGGGGACAGTGATGATTTAGAAATCCTAATTGTGAATTCAGTCGAAACGACAAGTCCAGCGGAATGTTTGCACAGAATGTTCACAGTGAATATTCAGTATTAGTGAAAGGGGTTTAAATCAAATATTGGCTATATGTATCTATCTGCTCTGCAAAAATTATTAGGAGATTCTCGGAAACAGGCGGATCCCGAAAAAGCAACGAATTTAAGAATTAAAAGAGAAACATTTCGTTACGTGAACAGGGAATTCTTGTTTTGTAGCAACACATTTTTTGAAGCGCTTCCGCGTGAACGAAGAGGGAAGACACGCCCTATTTAGAGTCTGACGGAGACACATCTCTAGAAACTTTCTACTCAGCCGAATAATCTTTTGTCTCAGATGGTCCAGCGCCTCATTAATATTTCCAGCAGGCACCGAAAAGGACAACGTACATGAATCTCATGAACAAACGTCTTGTCTACGCTCCCAGTGTGGATTTCACTTTCAGGAATTATGCTCGTTGAAGGATCGTTTGACGCGTGTCATTTTTAGTAATCGCGTACGTACCGCGTACGCATCATAAATTAAGAGATCTGATGGACAGTTAAAGAAGCCTATGAACGGTTAAGAAATTTCTCACGATACATCCAAGTGAATAGGGAATTGTGTGACGTAATTTTCGACGCGATAATTAAAGAGCATACTCGATATCTAGATTGCACGTGAAGGAATTATGCTAGAAAATAAAGGAAAACGTCTAACTTTTATAAACCTTGCTAGACAAATCAAATGTTTGCACAAAAGTTTTATTAGTCACTCGTTTTCATTCCATAAGACGAAGCTATTACGTAGATATTAATAAGAATTTCTTTATGATCAGGGCTTGTAAAAAAGGAATTAAATTATACATGGAACGTTTTTGCAATCGGCTTTCTATGGACCGATTTTCCAGAAGACGATTCCATGGCTCATAATTTGCTAACACGTGAACGGTTTTAGCGTGAATTTCTCCGCGTTCGAGCGTACGTCTTGCCTATTAGAAAATAACAATGACATAGAAAAATCCCCGTGTTCATTTTCTCCCAATCAACAGCGATCGCAAACAGTGTTCGTAAGGAAATGCAAACATTATTACTTGAATCTAATTCATATATTTAGACAGCACGTTTGCAGAAGGTATACGAACACAATCCAATTATACAGAAGCGACGCGCGTGTTTAGATTCCAAGTTTCTATTCTTTCACGCGAACGGTGCTTTAAACAGTGAAATCGTCTCGTACTTATTATCACGATTCCAGATAAATTTCATGCACTTTTCTCTGGCTTAATGACACGAGCAGACGATCTAGGTGAAAGAAGCGACCGGCTACTTGTAACAGTGTCATGATTCTAATGGACCGCGAAACGATGCAATAATGCGCTTCCGGAATCTGATATTCCTGGCACGCAGGATCGGCGCGAGGTATCTGGAAGAATCGTGACAGACCGATGAAGAGAAATATTTTTCTATTACATCACACAACCGTAATCTTCGATCTTGATCTCAATCAGCGTTAATTAACAGACACGCTGACCGATTGGGCTAATTGTCACGCAATGAGTCAAGCTCCAATTACAGTAATAATTGTTCGATATAGATTCCACGCGATGATTCGTGTTGCATGATGAATTTCACGCTTCAGTTTCTCATGATTGGACTCGAATGAGTTTCATTGAAAGTCAACGTGTCTGTTCTGACTCATTAAAACGAACAGAATGTATAATAGAAGATTAAACAATTGATACTGTTTAATTGTTGACGGTATAAATTGTTGGAAGATATCTTAAACACTTTTCTCCTGATGATGTTCATTCGAGGAATTCCAAGTTAAATGGGATAAAGACGTTCGTTGAATTATGTATTAAATTTTATTGGCCGCGTTACGTGCGCGTTCTTCGCTAATTAAATTAAGCAGAAA